AAAATACGGTCGTTTTTTTCGACCGAAATTTTGAAACAGATAAATGGTACACCGAATTTCAACAATCAGCCCCGTCGAGTTCGATATGGGGGATTTCGTGAGAAGGGTAGTCAGTCTCGCTCGAATTTGGCCCGAGTCGCGCATGTCAGGAAAATGTCGCGGCGCGACATTTTGACTTCTGACGAATGGTGTAAAATCGCTTACCCGTTTCGCGGAGTCGTTTGAGTAGTTCGCCGAATCGCGACGACAACACATTTCCGAGGCGCGGAAATGTACACCATTGGCGAACCCCTTCAACCTTCTTACCCGTTTCGCGGAGTCGTTAGCACAACTCGCGCGCTGGTTTTAGTTTTCGCCTGCAATCGTGACGCCTCGCACAATTGCGCGCGACACAATTCCAGCCAATAGTAGTACACCAATCCAACTCCCATCTCTCGTCATCCATTCTTCCAACACCCCTCCAAAGAGATACATATTGGAGGAGAGAAAATTCATTCGACACATTCATCCTCTCTCTCTCTCTCTGGCTGCCGTTTCTCAGAACTACAGTCTCTGCCCCACGCTATCTTAGCATAGTAACCTTCACCGCCATGGTGCGTCCCGCTTCTCAGTATTGGGAGCACGTCATTAAGATTAAGGATGACGCAGGCAACGTAGTCGGTGCTACCTGCGTTCATTGCAAGAATCCGGTGACGGCTAACGCGACTAGGATAGGCGAGCATATGTTCGGCACTAACAAGAGGGACAAGAACGTAGCGATGTGCAAGTCGGACTACGCTAAGCAGCTGCGGGCGACATCCGATCAGGAACGCTCGACCACGGGGAATGCAACGGGCGGATCAAACCGTGCCTCCACGTCCATGGTGGAAGCGCCGCCCGTGCGTCGCTCCAGGCAGAGAGATATCCGTGACATGACGGACCAAGTTGCGCATAATCGACTTGATTACCTGTGGGCTGCTGCGGTGGCCGAGAACGACCTCGCCTTCAACGTGTCTAAGTCGAAATCGATGCAGGCGTTCGTCGACGCGGCGATCATGTACGCGAAACCGTACACCCTCCCAACCCCGTACAAGGTATCCGGCCCGCTGCTAGACAAGCTGAAGGCGGACTCCGAGGACCTGCTGCGGCCGCTGAAGGATAGCTGGAAGACCAGCGGGTGCTCGCTCTCCGTCGATGGATGGACGGACATCAAATCCCGCGGTTTTGTGTGTGTCATCGCACAAAACGACACTGCACCCGTCATCGTCGACATCGTCGACTCGAAGACCGCCAAAAAAACCGGGGACTACTTGGCAACGCTTATTCAGGGAGCGATCACCACGGTGGGGCCGAAGCATGTCGTCCAAGTCGTCATGGATAACGCTTCGAACAACAAAAACGCCGCCAGCAAGTTAAGCGCGGATTATCCCCACATTTTCTTCACCAACTGCGCTGCCCACTGCCTCGACTTGATGTTGCACGACATCGGCAAGATCCCTGCGGTGAAACTCGTCCTTTCCCAAGTGCACCAGGTCGTTATGATGATCAAAGGCTCCGCGTCGGCCGTGGTCTTGTTCCGTGAGCTTTTTACCAAGCTCTCGTTGGTGCGGCCTGGTGCAACGAGATTTGGCACCCAGGTCATCATGCTCGGCAGGTTCCTGGAGGTGAAGCGCACGTTGAGGGCGATGGTAATCAGCGAGGAATGGGAGGATGCAGCTGTGGCAAAGACGGAGGAGGGGATGGAGGTTAGGAAGCTACTGTTGGACGACGTTTTTTGGGACCGTGGGACGGCCGTGCACCGCCTCATGACTCCCATCTACGAGGTTCTTCGCGCGGTCGACACACGGGCTCAAGTCATGGGGCAGCTGTACGGCCTCATGCTTGAAGCCACGGTGAAGACTAATGCGGCTGCTGAGACGGCTGGTGAGTGAGATGGCTGAAAGTATTACGCGAGGGGTGTTGATTGTTAATCTCTCCACCCACCTGGTCATGTTGATTGTTTATCTAATTAGTGCTCTTTATTCACTGTGAGCAGCCGCACACTTCATCAAGCGGACGGGTCTGCTGTTGCCGAAGGATAAGAGCTCCTTTCTCACCTCCATCAAGGCGATCATTGCAAGGAGGTGGGACGCACAACTGCACAACCCCCTGCACGCCATCGGTTGGCTCCTCAACCCCCGTAACCAGTACATTGGGGAGGTAAGGAATGATAAGGAGATTAGGAAGGGGGTGGATGAGGTGATCCGGGCCCGTGGCGGGGATGTGCAGCAGCGCATAACGCTAGCTGCACAGGTGGCTCAGTTTCACCGAGGGGAGGGCAGGTTGGGCTCTGACGATGCCCGTTGGGCAGCAACTACCTTGGTGGAGGCGGGGCGCATGACGGAGGCAGAATGGTGGTTCCTGTTTGGTGGGGAGGTGCAGCAGCTCCAAGACCTGGCTGTGACGTCTCTGTCACAGCCAGTCACCTCCTCCAAGGTGGAGAGGTACTGGTCGGCGCTGGCACGTGTGCAGAGGCGCGACCGGAACCGCCTCACGGCGAAGAAGATGACTGACGTCACCTTCGTCGCCTTCACACGGCGTGCCCGTGATGCCTTCGATCGAAAGGCAGCCCTGCGTTCCAAGCTCTATCAGGACCTGGGCAACGGCACCCTCAGGGAAGGGGCTGCCATCCCCGTGGAGGCGGAAGTGGAGGTGGAGGAAGGGGATGCGGAGGAGGAGGCACCCGTGGAGGAGGAATGCACCATTGATTGGTCGGAATTTGGGAGCATCGGCAAGAAGAGGAAAGGGAAGGCGGGTAAGTCATCTAAAGGGAAGAAGAAGGGGAAGGCCAACGGTGCATGCAAGGGAAAGGGGAGAGGAAAAGCAGGGGATGCGGAGGAGGAAGAGGAGGCAGAAGAGAGCGGTGGGGAGGAGGAAGAGCCTACCATGAATACCAAGGGGCGATATGCCTGGGATTGCAGCGACGATTCAAGTGGAGGAGGAGGAGGAGGAGGAGGAAGAGGATGACGAGGAGTGTGACGGTTAGAGTGGGGAGGGAGGAGGAAGAGGATGGCGAGGTGGTGGAGTAAGAAGAATAGAAGGCAGCAGGGTGAGTATAGTAGGGTGGGGATGGTCTTAGGAGGGGATATAGGCTAGAGGCCGGTACTTGCCTAGGAATGCATGCATAGTAAGGGTAGCGGCAGTATTAGTGGACCTTAGCATGCCTGTTTCTCCTTAGAGTAGGTTGTTATGGGTGTCCTAGTCTTTGTTGTAGCCATTTCAGTAGATTCAAGAAAAAAAAACCGACACAAAAAAGGGCCAAAAAAAAAACGACCGAAATTTTGGAAATCCGAACGTATTATACCATCGAAAAAAACGCCCCGTATAATACGATAGCCGTATTTTTGATCCTTGAATGCATGTGAGCGGTGGTGGCAATGCATGTGAGCGGTGGTGGCAATGCATGTGAGCGGTGGTGGCAATGCATGTGAGCGGTGGTGGCAATGCATGTGAGCGGTGGTGGCAATGCATGTGAGCGGTGGTGGCAATGCATGTGAGCGGTGGTGGCAATGCATGTGAGCGGTGGTGGCAATAATTGTCACGCACGTAAGGAGGAACCATGACTGTGACTGAGAGACTGTGGTGCAAGAAATGTTTCTCATACAAGCCCTGACTGAGAGACTGTGGTGCGTCCGCGATCGTGATTGGCGTTTTCAACGCTTGGAAACCGCTTGTCCAGTCCAGGCAGCCAAAACAAAATCCAGCGCAGTGAGGAACTAATTCTCAGAATTCCGAGGGATGGTGGGGGGCGACGTAATTCACTCGCTGGTATTAGGACGCCGTGCCAGGTTAAAAGCTGATAAACTGGAGTGGGAAATGAACTGATAAACTGGAGGGCTGGAAATGAAGAGTGGGAAGCTGTCGAAATCGCTCGTTAAACACCGACCCGGAAAGCCATCAGTCGCACTCTTTATAATCATATCCATCACATTCAATCCTTACATCCATCGCATCACGCGCACGCACGCACGCACGCACGCACACACACACACACACACACACACACTCGTTACACACACACTCCTTTCCTTACATGCATCCGCAGTCATCCCGCCAGTGGCAACAGACCCTGCAGAAGCCTGCGAGCTCGTGCCGCCGGCTGCCTGGGCCTGCAGCATGTGGCCCTTGCTCTTGATGTACAGCATCTTCTGGGATATGCGCCACAGGTAGTCGTCCTGCGTGCATGGGGGACACAAAGAGAAAACAAGACGGTGCTATCTTCTTACATAAGCGCGGACAGCAAACCGACATCGCCTGTGATCGCGCACCAGGTAACAAATGATTGGTAACAAATAATTGGTAACACCTGATTGCTCGCACCTGCCTGACTGGTAACACCTGATTGCTCGCACCTGCCTGATTGGTAACACCTGATTGCTCGCACCTGCCTGATTGGTGAGAGCTGAGAGACGACGTTCTGCTAATATGACTTTTGATTCAGTAAACAACGTTGATTTCTGGCACGTGATTGGTGGCCGTTGATAGCTCGCACCTGATTGGTGGCCGTTGATTGCTCGCACCTGATTGGTGGCCGATGATTTCTCGCACCTAATTTGTGGCCGTTACTTGCTCGCACCTGATTGGTGGCCGTTGCTTGCTCGCACCTGATTGGTGGCTGTTGCTTGCTCGCACCTGATTGGTGGCCGTTACTTGCTCGCACCTGATTGGTGGCCGCCGTTGCTTGGTCGCACCTGATTGGTGGCCGTTGCTTGCTCGCACCTGATTGGTGGCGGTTGAGAAGATCTTCTGCTCGAAGGATGCGGCCACGCGGTGCAGCTCGTTCATGTCGGGCGCCGATGTGAACTTCTGTAGACTCTCCATTCTGCCCACATGGTGCGCGGCCGACGGATGACATGGAGACGGAGACGGAGAGGGAGAGGGGGTGGGAGAGGGAGAGGGAGTGGGGAGAGGGTGAAGGAGAATGAGAGGGAGAGGGGAGAGGGAGTGGGGAGAGGGTGAAGAAGAGGGGAGAGGGGGAGAATAAGAGGGAGAGGGAGAGCTCTGCATGATTCTAAGCACTCGAACCACGAAAAGAATAATGGAGATTACAACAGAGAGAATCCAGAGAATCAATCGTTTCAACAACAGCGGGCCAATGACACGCACATCCGCTTCACCAGGATTTGTCGCTTTTCCCGCGGAAGCCGCGTGCGCCAATCGGGCTCCGCCGGTGCTGCCTGAGGGCGCATACCGCCGCCGCCGCCACCGCCGCTCCAATCGCCTTCCATGCTCAATCGCCGCTCACGACGCGCGATCCGAATCAGCTCGAAGATACCCGCAGTCGACGAACCTTAACAGTCACAAAAGAAATCGACCGCTAGCGACGTGCAACAACAGACAGGCACGCGTGAACCAGTTCATATAGAACCTAACTGCTGCGAATGGGAAGACCGACGTGGAACTGAAACGAATCTCGTCGCGCGCTAACTCTGCTTAGAACGAGGCGAACTTGCAGAGCCCTGACCTAAATATCAACTCTGCTCTGCCGTTAGTACGGCGATTGACGTGTGACGCACTTCAAGCAGACTCCACTCGCTCCCACAAAGATCTGCCGGGCTCGGATCATCGGAGAGCCTATGGGTGGTGTGTGGGAGGGGGAGAGAGCGATAGTGTGTCTCATGTGACTGCTCTGCCCCGATCCGGTCCGTCGCTATATTCTGGTCCGACAGACCCATGTGCCAGACCAGCCGTGGACCAGAAACGGACTGGTCTGCTTGAATGGTTGCGTGTCGGGCTGTAAAATAGCTGGTTCCGTCCGCCTCTGGTTCGTGTGCTGGTTCTTGAGCTGGTTCGTCTGGTCCGCATCGGACCCACGCCTCTCGGACCCTAAGGGCGTGTTACCCCCCCGCACATTTCTGAAAATGGGGTAGGGCCGAATTTTCGACGATCAAATGTTCGTCAAAATTTTCGCGAACAACGACGAGGTGGCCGATTCAGAGTCGACTTTTTTTCAGCCACCATTTTCAGTTTTTCCGAATTAACTTTTTTTTTTGGCCGATTTGCAGGCCGGTTCGGAAAAATTGCTAAACTTGCAATTACTACAGTAATTGAACACGTGCGACGGGGTCGCACTTCTGGCGGCGATATTTCTCATTTGACGCAATCACAAAATTCGTCGTTGGGCGAGACCGTGCTATGTCACAGGCTATTGTCGCACACTGCGTCAACTAATTGGCCGCTCTAGAGTCGACTCGGCGTCGTTTCGTGTCGACTCTTTAAACGGCCACCTGATTCGCTATTTTTTAGCGAAATTTGCTATTGTCGCAACCCAACTGAACGGGTGTCGCAAACTGGTTACCTTCGCAAAAACGGCCTAACGGATTTGTTAAAGGGATTTGGCTCCGCCCTTGCATGGGCAAACTGACTTCGTGGTTGGGTGCGTAGAGGGTGCACCGACCTTCCGCAGAGGTCGACGAAGGTGGTCGTCGACCTGCGCGAAACCAATGTGACTTCGTCGATGAAGGAGTTCGAATGAGTTCAACGAGGATGGTCGACGAAGCAGTTCGTCGACCAGAGTGGCGCAGCTGGTGCAGAAGTTCGATGGTGTCCGTCTGCGCAATGTCGCGTTTGACCCTGCGCAACATTGAGACTGCACAGGCGAATTTTGGCCAGAAATTCGAATGTGCCCTAATTTCGACCAATCAGGGGCTGACATTTTGAAATGTCGACCGAGGTGCTCGACGAAGGTCGTCGAGCCCCGACGACGAAGGTCGTCAACCCGCGACGACGAAGGTCGTCAACCGGTGATGACGAAGGTCGTCATCCTACAGAGATGTCAGGAACTTCATCTGGTTGACCAAGATACCTGCTCGACGAGTGCGCGAAGGTGTGCGAACGTCGTCGAGGCTGCTGTGGCGAAGTCGACCGACGTGGCAGCACGTGGTCGACGTGGCTCATCATGTGCAACAGTTAGCACAGGCCCTCAGATTGGTTTCAGGGTATGCTGATGGATCAGCGTGCCCTGCCCAAATTAGTGACCAAATCAGCGTTGGGGGTCAAGTTTATGCTGATTTTGTCAGGGTAAAATTTCTTTGCTTAATAATTAATAAGTCCTAATACTTAAATTGCCCTCTCTGGGCAGCGCTAGTAGCGTAGCTGTCTCAGGTTTCGGCCTGTAACCGGAAAGGTCACGAGTTCGAAGCCCGTATGTGACACGTTCACCTGAATTTTGGGCTTAAGGCCCCATGTACGCGCACCCCATCCCTGTACCCGATACATTTTGCTATACCCGAATCAGATTGACTCGGTACACTGTACTGAAGCTTCAGTGTTACTGGTACACCTACACACAAATTCGTCAGGGTAGTCCTACACTTCAAACTGAAAAATCAGTGCAAACATAAAGAATATACTGAAATTTCAGGGAAAACGAAAATCACAGCTACAAAATCAGCCTAATCAGCGTGTTTTACGCTGATATCTGAGGGCCTGAGTCAGCATGTGGCTGACAACCTGCGCAATGTGTGTGACAGTGCACGTCGTGCATAACTGTCTAGAAGCACCTGCTAACTAGGTGCTTGCACATGTGCTTACAATCACCTGCGGATGCAATGTTGGCAAGCTGTGTAGGTGTAGCGTTGGCAGGCCGCCATCTGCAGCGTTGGCAAGTCGCGTACGAGCAGCGTTGGCGGATCGCAGACTTGCTACGTTGGCAGGTCGACAACTCTGTCACGCTGGCAGTCGACCTGCCTGAGTGAAAAAATCCGCCTCTGTTTAAGCAGCGCCGCAGAATTAACTTGGCGAGCTAGAGGCAGAGCCTAGGATCGATACGACGGGCTCGGAGCAAGGATTTCGTAGCACTTTGAATCTCTAAAAACGCCCAAGAATTGAGAGAGAACTTGCTTGTAATATAAAGATGGGTACAAGGGACGAATTGAGGATAACTCTCTGTTTTTGCTCTCTGGTTTTATATATAAAACATGCAAGCACATTTGTAATATCGAACCGCGCGCGACTCGATGGAAATTCGGACTTCCATTGGACGTCCAATTTCCGCGACGTTCGCGTTCACATATTCGGACCTTGCCGAGTTCATTTCAACACACCAAATGCGTGTGTTACACGAAGTGGTAGCGAGTGTAGCGAATGGTTCAAAACCTTCGCTAGAACTCTCGCTATTTTCGTGAGAGCTTGTGGGGCTGCCAAGTGTAGCCCCCACAAAGTTTCGGACCCAACCGGTGGTGAACTCGGTTGAGTGGCGACGCGGGCAATCCGCCGTCACCCAATCTTCCGAGAAGAACCCTCCCTTGGTCCGAGTCAAGGGAGGTCTTTAGCGTGGGGGGCAATCCCGTCCCCCACACTTCCAACACTCCCCCTTGCACCCCACGCACACCTAAGCATGCAAGCCTACCCTAGCACAACATGCATGAAGAGCATCTCTAGGCAGTGGCTTGGTGAGGAAGTCCGCGGGTTGGGGGTTGGTTTTGATGTAACGAAGCTCGACTTCGTTGTCTTCAACGAGCTTGCGAATGAAGTGGTGGCGGATTTGAATATGCTTGGTCCTTCCATGAAGGACCGAGTTCTTGGCTAGGCCAATAGCGGCTTGGTTGTCCACGTAGATGGGAGTGGGGCCTTCTTGTTTGTGCCCAAGCTCGGCAAGAAGGCGCCTTAGCCAAACCGCTTCCGTACCACCACGAGTGAGCGCCACGTATTCCGCTTCGGTGGAGCTAAGTGCAATCAAGTTTTGGCGCTTGCTTTGCCAACTTATTGCACCTCCCACGAGGGTGAAGATATAGCCCGAGGTGCTTTGGCGGGTTGAAGGATCTCCCGCCCAATCCGCATCCGTGTAGCCTTGAAGCACCACGGGTCCCTTCTCGTAGTGCAACCCCATACGAGTGGTCCCCTTGATGTAGCGAAGGAGGCGTCGTGACGCTCGCACATGCTCGACCATGGGGTTGGAGACGACACGTCCAAGCACTCCAACGGGAAAGGAAAGGTCAGGTCGCGTGCTCACCGCGGCATACATACAAGACCCAACAACCGAGTGGAAGGTCTTGGCGCTCTCGGGATCCATCGGGTTCTCATCGCTCACGGCCAAGGGATGAAACCCCGCTTCCATGGGTGTCGGTGTAGGCTTGCTCTCGATCATGCCGAAGCGATCCACCACACTCTCCAAGTACTTGTGTTGGTGGAGGGCGAGGGTCTTGTTCCCTCGATCACGATCGATGTGCATTCCTAGGTAGTGGGAGACGGCGCCGAGGTCACGCATGGAGAATTCGGCGGCAAGCTTCTCCTTCACGTCCGCTACAAGTGTCTTGGAATCCGACACGAGAAGGAGGTCGTCGACGTAGAGGAGAAGAACGAGCTCCTTCTCATCCTTGTTGAGCACGTAGAGCGCGTGGTCACACTCGCTCCGCACGAACCCCAATGAGAGTAGGTGTTCGTCAATCCTTGTGTACCACGCACGAGGGCTTTGCTTGAGGCCGTAGATCGTGCGCTTGAGCTTGCACACGCGGTCGGAGTCGTCGTCGAACCCGGGAGGTTGCTTCATGTACACCTCCTCCTTGAGACGACCGTAGAGAAACGCCGTCTTCACGTCGAGTTGTTCCACCTCCAAGTCGAGTGCTCCCGCCAACGCCAAGAGGGTGCGCAACGTAGCGGACTTAGCGACGGGAGCGAACGTCTCGTTGTAGTGAAGACCCTCCTTTTGAGTGTAGCCTTGCGCCACCAACCGCGCCTTGTACCGCTCCACTTCTCCGTTGGGGCCGAGCTTCTTCTTGAAGACCCAACGAGAGCCAACGAGGTAGGCGCCGGGAGGCATGGGGACATGCTCGTAGACGTCGTTCGCCATGCGTGAATCATACTCTTCTTGAAGTGCACGTTCCCATTCCGCCGCTTCCGCCGAGCTCATGGCGCCGTGGTAGGTGGACGGGGTGTCGGTGTACGCCTCAAGACACATAGCGTCTCCCCCTCCCTCATCGTCCCCCGCCACGAGAGAGTAGTCATCGAACTTGGAGTTGGGATGAGGGTTCCTTCGAGTGCGAGTGGATGCGAGGGTTGGAGTGATACGAGGAGGAGACGAAGGGTCACGTTCCTTGGCATTTCCTTCATTCTCACTCACTCCAACCGCACCCGATCCATTCTCCCCCTCACTCGCACTAGGAGGAGGAGCCGTAGGAACTTCATCCGCCTCATCCGCGGCATCCAAGGGTGGAGGGACGATGATGACCGAGGGCACGTTCGTAGACTTGGAGGGGAAGGTGTCTTCGTAGAACACCACGTCGCGCGACACCACGAGTTTCCCGTGCTCCAAGTCCCACACGCGCCACCCCTTGTGATCCGCGCTTGGACCCAAGTACATCGCCACCCGCGCCTTCGCCTCAAGCTTGGTCCGTGTAGCATCCGGGACATGGTAGTAGCACGTACACCCAAACGTGCGAAGGTCGGTGACGTCCGGCTTCGTACCGCTCCAAGCCTCAAGAGGCGTCTTGTTGGGCAACGCCTTGGTCACGCACCGGTTGCGAATCCAAGTTGCCAACGTAACCGCCTCTCCCCACCAATGCTTCTCCGCGTGAGCATGGGAGAGGAGGCTTCGTGCCGACTCCATGAGCGTGCGATTCAAGCGTTCGGCGGCTCCATTTTGTTGAGGCGTGTACGGCGTCGAGAACTCATGCGCGGTCCCACGCCCTTTCAACCAATCGCCGAGCTCCCAAGCGGTCTATTCGCCACCTCCATCCGAGCGAAAGCGCTTCACCTTGAAGCCGCTTGCCGTCTCCACATCCGCGACCCACAGCTTGATGGTGGTTGACGTGGCGTCCTTGTTCTTGAGAAGCCGAATCCAACACATCCGCGTCGCGTCGTCAAGGAGCGTGAGAACGTAGCGCACGCCGCCCTTCGACGCGGGAGTGATCGGTCCACACAAGTCCGTGTGAACGAGCTTGAGAGGTTCGGTGGCGTTCGGCTTCGTGCTTGGTGGAAATGGCTTCCGTCCCATTTTCCCTTCGAGACAACCGACACACTTCTCATCGTCTCCACCCGAGCGCACAAACTCCAAGCCGTTGACGATCTCCTTCGTTGCCATGGCTTGAATAGCGTCGTAGTGGAGGTGGCCGAATCGATTATGCCACGTTTTGAGAGTGGTTGTCGAGGTAGCCGCTTGAGCCGTCGCCACACTTGGGAGGGCATCGAGCATGAAGAGTCCTTTCGTTTGGCGTGCCGTGCCGATGTGTACGCCATCCGCCGTACTCAACACCATGGTGGTTCCCTCAATGTTCACACGCATCCCCTTGCGTGTGAATTGAGAAACCGAAAGGAGGTTGGCGCCAAGCCCGGGAACCACCAAGACGTTCTTGATGGTGAGTGGACCGCCGTCCACCATGAGCCGCAAGTCGCCTTGTCCCGTGACGTCCAACGTGTCACGGTTGCCGAACATCACGCGCTTAACGGGAGCCTCCGTTGTCACGTTGTTGAGAAGCGTCGCACACGCCGTCATGTGTTGAGTAGCACCCGTGTTGAGTATCCACGCATCAAACACCACCGACGGTTGTTCCACTTGCGACGAAGACGAACTCCCGGTCGTTGTTGTCGCATGTCGCCACATGCGCGCGCCGGTTGTCGTCACTTGAAGACGGCTTCCAATTCGCCGTCTTGACGGGACATTCGTGCCACCAGTGTCCGGTCTTCTTGCAAAAACGGCAAGCTCCGTCGCGCGTCCGAGCTCGATTGGCGTTGGCCGGTCCTCCTCGTGATGAGCTTGAGGCCGCCGCGCTCCCGCTCGAGCTCCCGCGGTTGTTGCCGTCGTTGCGCCGCTTGAAGTGACTCGTCCCTTTCGCCTTCGCATCGCGAACGAAGTGGGCCGCGCCAATTGCATCGCCATGCAATTTCGTGCGCCTCGCCTCTTCGTTGATGAGGCGTGCCACCACTTACTCCTTCCACGTGTCTTGCGTCCCATCCAACATCGTAATCACCGTTGACCATGCTTCGCCGAGGCCCGCGAGGAGCGTCATGATCCAATCGTTGTCCTCCACGCTCGCGTCGAGTTCCACCAAGCGCTCGCCAAGCTCCTCCACGCGGTTGACGTACGCGCGCATTGACTCGCCGTCCCTCATCCGCACCGTGAAGAAGTCGAGGCGCGCTTGAAGCTTGCTATGAAGCGACTTGGAGACGTGCTCTCCTTCGAGTCGCTTCCACGCTTCACGAGTCGCGCCGTCACGGTCGATGCACGGACTCACGATCGGGACGAGTTGGAGGCTTAGCTTGGAGACAAGAAAGGCAAATGCCTTTTTGTCCTTTCGCACCCATGCTTCCTTCTCCTTTCGCACCCAAGCGTCCGAGGCGGGCTTCGATGCCGACCCATCGAAGAAGCCCCACAAGTCGCGCTCCATCATATACACCTTGAGCTTGAAAGGACACGAGGAGAAGTGCTCCCCGTTGAAAATCGGCACCGCGCTCAAGTCGACAACGTGCGGCGTTGTCGAGAAGTCCGTCGGGAGGGAAGGAGTCGTTGGAGCATTCGTCGTCGACGGATTTTCGGAGGAACCCATGGCGTAGCAATGATTGAGCGAGCGCTCCTAACTCTAGCTCTCATACCATGAAAGAATCCGCCTCTGTTTAAGCAGCGCCACAGAATTAACTTGGCGAGCTAGAGGCAGAGCCTAGGATTGATACGACGGGCTCAGAGCAAGTATTCCGTAGCACTTTGAATCTCTGAAAACGCCCAAGAATGGAGAGAGAACTTGCTTGTAATATAAAGATGGGTACAAGGGACGAATTGAGGATAACTCTCTGTTCTTGCTCTCTGGTTTTATATCTAAAACATGCAAGCACATTTGTAACATCGAACCGCGCGCGACTCGACGGAAATTCGGACTTGGGACGTCCAATTTCCGCGACGTTCGCGTTCACATGTTCGGACCTTGCCGAGTTCATTTCAACACACCAAATGCGTGTGTTACACGAAGTGGTAGCGAGTGTAGCGAATGGTTCAAAACCTTCGCTAGAACTCTCGCTATTTTCGTGAGAGCTTGTGGGGCTGCCAAGTGTAGCCCCCACAAAGTTTCGGACCCAACCGGGGGTGAACTCAGTTGAGTGGCGACGCGGGCAATACGCCGTCACCCAATCTTCCGAGAAGAACCCTCCCTTGGTCCGAGTCAAGGGAGGTCTTTAGCGCACTAGCAAACCTTGCATGTGATGTAGCCAATCTTTGCCATTGCTTGCTCATTCTGAACTCTGTTATTCTCAACTTTCCTTGGTGAAATTCTTGCTGTTTTGCCCTGTGAAAACACAAGTCCTAGAGAACACAGGCATAGCTACGATCACTCCGACAACTTGTGCCAACCCTGTAGTCTAGCTCCCACCGTTGCAAAGTTACTCTCCTCAGGATTGAGGCCGAATTTTTGGAGTTTGCAATCTAACACACCCTAATGTGTTCGATGTTGGACGTATAGTCAGGCTGCTTGTTTTGTATACTCAGCAGTAAGGTCGTCACCCCTAAATTCGAACAACGCGGCTGTTCGAAGGGTGTGTCAGATCATATTGGTCGACCATATTGTCAACAAAATCTTTTGTGAAAGCTGATTCCGTGGTCGACTTTGTGATCGATCACACATCGGCCTATCTTTAAAACATGCACATTTGGTGGCCGATCTGCAGGCCGTTGTAGAGAAAGTGCCAGATTTGCAATTGAGTTTTGGCCAGATTGTGCGACGACGTCGCACGTTTGTAAATGATTGGTCGACAGTAGCTTAGTCCGGTCGACTTTCGAGCCGAATGCACATCGGATTGTTGTCGAATCTTGAAACGACCAACAAATCTGACAAATAGGCCCAGAGTTCTTGCTAGGATCCGAGGGATGTCTGATGCATCGGACAGGTGCCCTGGGAAAAAGGCAAAATTGTTTGATTCTGATTGGCCCATCAGATTAATCCAAAAAAATCCGTCTGGAAACTAAGACAAACAGACAGAATTGTCTGATATCGAGGACCTTGAAGTGGCCGGATATGGCAAAGTAGTCGAACTTACGAAGGGACATCGCAACAACGTTACTTTTGCGAAATCCGACAGGTCGGATTAACGTGAAACTAGATCTGACACACCCTAACGTGCTAGTTACAAGTTTCGCCAACTCTCTTCGTGAAGTCTAAAAACAAACCTAACGGCGTTTGTGATCTTCGAAATCTTGTTCGTTTTCGAACTCGAGCTGCTTTGCACCCTGGCAAAAAAAATCTCAACTGTATCCTACCATGTAGAACCTTTCTAAAAGTTTGGCGCCCTTAGGGCGTATGATGTTTTTGAAGGTTCGGAAAACATGTCAAATTTTACATGGCTACAAGTTTTGTGAAGGTAGCTAACATGATATTGTAATTCCCAATCTTTGTATAGTTTTGGGCACGTACAAAGGGATTTGAACCCTAAACTGGCAAACACAGCAAATCCTTTATGCTTTGGTTTGACGTGGCGCGCAGTCAAGTCGACTACAATTGATAACCTAGAAACCCCTATGGGTGGCCAGACACACTGTCTTTAAGATCGAACCTCCACATTTGAACTTGGTGTATGATTTTGACGTATGGGAAGATTAGACTCGCTGTTTGAACTGAGCCCTTTGTTTGAACAGGCGACGGGTTACATGCGTCACATAATCTAGCGAAGTACCCGTTGAGTTATCGTCAATTTGCAGATAAAAATGTCGCTAAGTCGAACAGAGTTGTTTGTATCCAGCACGATATATTTCATGTATACTGTTTCAATGAGACTATTCGAATGTTATGTAGGATAAGCACCTATGAGGCCCGCGAACAGCACAAAAAAAAAGTTTCTAAGTAGCTTGTAATTGCCTTGTGAATTTCGACATGTAATCACCTTCTGGCGATTGAGGAGCTACGTCACATTTTTGTAAACACCTGTCACTTCATGTGACACATTGACACATTTCACCAGATTCTCATATCTTGTTTGAACATAATAATTGTAGAGTTTGGGCACTGGAAAAAAAAAGACAGCGTTCAGACTTTGGATACCAACTTCAGAGGTGATGCGCCCTTAGATAACCACGAAGATCGTATACGGATTGACAAAAACTTAAATGCTACGTACTTTCGAAAAAAAATGTAAAGTTATACATATTTCAATAGTTACGCACGCCCTTAACCGATACAAACATGGCTATAAGATGATGCACGATGATTGTTACGTCAAATCTTCGAACACCGCTGTTCACACTCAAATTGAATCTCGCAACTCCAAGCAGCACAAACAACAAACTCTATTGGCCAGATCGCCCACCTGAATACGATGTTACGTGAACAAGTGTCGAGTGAAAAAAAACAGGGGCGTCAGATGAGGCGACGGGGAGACACATTGGATACAGACATTCAATTCTGCGTTCGGACACGCTAGCCACAGTGTTTGCATGATCAAAATGAGTTGATTGTTCGAATTTGGGAAACAATTTGTTTGAAGTGACGTGTCCTAATGGTTTCCCGCCCACCCAAAGTACACCTTATGTCATTGATGTGGGGAGGCAGACCATGTCAATGCGTGTCACGAATGCGAAACAAGGTAAATGCGTACCTGTTTTTCTAACGGAGTGAAAGGCCCCGCCCTCACTTGGGCGCAGGCATTTTCTACAACAACGCGGAGAGGCTTGACTCTCTGCGCGCAGTCAAGGACCACTTCCTAGCTCGCTGCCCCACTGAGCTCACCATTGCCCTCCTCGAGAAGGAACTACTTGCAGCTGAGGCGAGCATCGTCGCTGTAGGTGCCTCTCGTGGCGACCCCCGCACCCCTTTCTTTGAGGGGTGTTCCCCTTCCCCCCTTCTCCCCTCTGTAGCCTCTGCTTCTGCTGTCCACCTCTTTGGTGCTGAGAAGGTCGGCACGGCGTCCGCTCCGAGCGGGCGCCGCAGGAACAGAGGGGGCAAGGGTGGAGGTGGCGGCGGGGGAGGCGGGGGTGGAGGCGGTGGGAGTGGAGGTGGGGCTGGAGACGCTAGTGGCGGTGGTGGGGGTGGTGACGGCAGCGGCGGGGGTGGTGGCAGGGGCGGTGGCAGCGGCGGAGGCGGAGGTGGTCGTGGCAGCGGCAGGGGAGGGGGTGGTCGAGGAGGTGGCGGCGGCGGTGGTGGTCGTGGAGGCGCTGGCGGTGGTCTGAGCCAGCAGCCCGCTCCGTCACTCCAGGAGGTCCGTGAGTGGTATGCGCAGCGTATGCGGGGGGGGGCGGGTGGCTTTACCTGCACGTACGTCATCCGCACTGGTGACCGCACTGGTCAGACGTGTGGGAGGCCGCACCCCACGCAGCGCTGTTTCTCACGCCTTGACGATGCTTGGCGCACCCAGTTTCCTGATGCCACTGAGCTGCCCCGCTGGTTTGATCTGGAGAAGAAGGGTGTTGATATTTGGGCTCTAGACTTTGATGCTATTCTCACTGCCATGTATGCGATGTTTACTAGTGGAGAGGGTGCTCAGTACCTGTGTGTTCCGCCCGACCCGGGCATTCTGACCAGTGAGGCTGCCGCTCTAGGTGCTAGTGCGACTGCCACTGCAGGTACTCGCGTGTCTGCTACCTCAGGTGCTGGTGAGACTGCCGCTCTAGGTGCTAGTGAGTCTGTCCCCCCTGGTACTGAGTCGACTGAGGCACTGCACACCTTCACCCTGGACTCAGGTGCTTCTCGCTGTTTCTTTCATGACCGCACTGTCCTTGAGCCACTCGCTCGGCCAGTTGCTGTCTCCCTCGCTGACCCCTCTGGGGGTCTGGTCATTGCGACCTCCTCCACTGTCCTTCCTTGTCCTGCGGTCCCGTCGGGCACACTGTCGGGTCTCCACCTCCCCTCGTTCTCTACGAACTTGGTGGCGGGTTGTGCGCTCCAGGACGGGGGTGTCCACCAGTTCACCCCTGCCTACGAGCGCGTGACACACTGCACGTGTGCTCGGACGGGTCGTCACCTGGCTACCTTCACTCGGCAGCCGGGGTCGGACCTGTACACACTGACCACTGAGTCCCCTCAGGTAGCTGCGTCTGCGTCTGCGTCAGGTCAGCTGTCGGCCCCCTGCTCGTGTCGCTCTCTGGCGCACGAGACCGTCCTCTGGCACCACCGACTTGGTCACCCGTCTGTGCAGCGCCTTCGGGCCATGCACAAACGGTACCTTGTCTCTGGTCTTCCCAGGGTTCTCCCTCCCCTCCCAGGGTCACCCTGACGCTGGTGTCTCTACTGGTTTTGGAGACGCTGCGCGGCCGCGACCGTACTTCGTACCGCTCCTTCAGCAGGTTCTTGGTCACACTCCTCCTCCTTGTCCTCCTTCCTCCTTAGAGTGTCCTCCGCCTGTCCCGTCGCAGTCACAGTTACCGCCTGCCTCGCCTCTTCCTGGTCCCTCTCCTTACACTAGTCCCACAGGAGGTCTTACTGAGCGTCGTGAGCCTGAGTCTCGTCCTGCGTCGCCTGTTCGCACTGCTCGCACTGGTCGTCGTGTCCCACGTGAGCGTCCTCCTCTTGTCCCTGGCACTCACTACATGACTCTGCGTCCCTCCACTGCTCCTCAGCGTGTCCCACTGCCG